TTAGTGAAAGTGAAATAACAGCCATTATTTTTTTTATTTTTGTAGCTATTTATTTGTTAAATTATTTTTCAGTCATTTTTCAGGTTAACAAAAAGAAATCGTGATATTAATCAAGATCAGAGGATATGAAAAAATTAATCATGAACATCTTTTTTTTTTTGCCATATCGCCCAGCCCTAATGTAAAGTGGCTGCAGTGAGCTGCTATCTTAGAGCAAGATCTTCTGAGGAGCTGCTGACCAAGGCTGTTAGAAAATACAGCCATCATTACAACTGTGGCTTTCGAAAATGGTGGCAGTTTATTTCTGACCCATTTACAAAACAGCACGTCTCTTCAGTTAACAGAAATACCAAGTCTTCCAACTCTTCCATCATCAACTAAAATAAAAATGTTTTTGCGAAAAATCACATTAGCGAGATCTGGCGTCTCACCTCTTACTGAAGTCTAGAGAGCCCTAAAGTCGTCTGCAAATGGTCCAAAATGCAGCAACTCACCTACTGACTGATAAAAGACACCTTTGCCCTGAGGTATGCTTCTCTGCACTGGATTCCTGTTGTTTCAGGGTGGAGTTTAAGATTTTATTTCATTTCCTTGAAAAAAAGTACATTATCACAAATGATCATATTCCTATCAGAGCATTTGTGTCTGCATTGTTATACTCATAATTGCATATTGCGTTTATCTTGATGAGATATTTTGCTAACAGACAAATGAACACAATTTGACAAAAAAAAGCATAATGCTCCAAGTGTGTCATTTTTCTTGTTGATTGGAACAGCAGCTCTGGATTTGCTGCTTTCTTTCTGCAGCTCTCCGTTTGGTGTAAATCGAATCTGGCAACGCCTAAACAATTTAGAGCGCACGTTTGTGTGTGCAGACTGTAAAAAAGAAAAAAAACGAACACAACATTTTTATTATTCTGTTTGTACGGGAGTGAAACTCTCCATTTATGTGCAGGGAGGAGGAGGCATGTGCAACGTTTCTGCATGTTTGGACATCCACGCGCCTGTGCACAGACAACATTCTAATGAGTTCACCATCTATTCTCCGTAGGCAGAGCTCGTGTTATTATTTACAGCCGTTAGCCCGTCGGTGCAAACAGCACTGATGATAATTTGCTGCCTTTGGCTTATTTAAGGCTGGACTGATTCCAGGTCCGTTAGTGAGTTTGTGTTTCTATATGCTGTTTTATCTGCGTAATGTGGCCCGGAATGAGTGTCAGTGTTGTGAGACCTGACTCTGGAGAGGCTCGTTTCGTTCCGGTGGAACAACACTCCGGCACATTTGTGGTGCTAGCCAGTTAATTAACCTGGAAACTGGGGGCCTGAAGTGTTTATGAGGCAGCTGAAAGGTGAAGCTGCTGTTATATGTAAACACGAATGTGAGATGCAACAGCTTAAGTTGTTGATATATTAATATATTTGGTTGACATTTATAGGCTCGTTCTCATCAACAAAGCATAAGAACAACAGCAGTTTAGGAGTTTCTTTTGGGGTATGTGGGCTCCCCTAACAGTCTCATCCGAAATGTCTTCCCACAGGGGCAATTTAATATAGAGACAATTGTAGTTTAGTGAATACAGTACAGCTCCTCTTGATTAGTTTCTTCTTCATAAAAGTAATCTGGCTCTCAATGAAACATTGAATATTTAATAACTTGATGTGTTAAAACAGCCTCTCTGTCTCAAAGACTTTCAGAAGCTAAAACCTATTTGTTTTGCACTTATGTAAGAAGTTTAGGAGGGATTTTGTCATCGTTTGTGTTCATCAATTTAGTTTGGTTTATGTTCATGTATTTTTTATTTGGTCTTAGCCTCCTCATGTCCTCAGTAGTCCCTAATTCTAGATCCGTTCAAGCACCTGACTTCTATTAGTAACCAGCACATCTACCACCCATTTCACAGCATATAAACAAATGATTCCCTACCAGGAGTATGTGTACCCCTTGGGGTACATGAGCATACTTACAGGGGGTATGTGGAAAAATTTCCCAGGTGTGTAAACAACTAAATGAAAATAGGACTGAGATATGTAGGGCCCTATGATTTCCACAATGCGTAGTTAACACAAAATTGAATCCAGTATAAAATGTGGAATCTCACAGAATTTGCTCATTTGGGTGAGTTTCTGACAAATTTTGGACAATATAATGTATTTTGGACGCTGTTGTTTTCTGCACCTGCCATTAACTGGTTTATTTATTTAATTACTTATTCACTTTCAAGGCAATGTTTTTATCTTTATGTTTAATTTGAGTTGAAAAAACATGCCTGAGAATTAAACGTTCTAGGGAGTTAATTAAAAGTCAGTTGTAGTACCTTTATAGTTTTGGAGAATCATCATTACGTTTGACTGAATGGGTACTAGTGGTATGTCAAAATGACTCAAGGGGTACACAAGTATAAAAAGGTTGGGAACCACTGATATAAACTCATATTTTTCCAGAGTTCACTATTAGATTTCTTGCAAGTCATGTTGCATTGTGCTTTGTTTATTTACTAAAATTCAAATTTTACTTTTTAATCCGTCTCCTGCTTGCTTGGTTTTAGGTCTATAACATCCTATTTTGACATGTTTTTGTTTAAAACCTAGTCCCTGCATACCTAAAAACTTCTCAACAAACACCACTTTCTTTAAACAACTGCATGTAGGTGGCATTTTCTCTAAAGTTCACCTGAAAACACGCAGTAGGTTTCAAATAAAAGTGACATTTTCTGACTTTAACTAACTGACTTGTAAACAAGTGACTCAGTGTTTCCTGTTATTTTAGATGCTGCTTTTCTACAGCAATACTCATCAAGATGACTTAATCTTGTTGTCGGACCTGGAATTTGCATAATGTCCCAATGTGCCAGCTTTTCTACTGTCAATGATAAAATGTGCATCACTAATCAAAGCCATTAGTACAACTCCAACTCCAATGAAGTTGGAAAATCATCTTCACAATGGAACACTGAAAATATCAAACGCTTAGGCAAATATCGAGTTTAAGCTAAATATTACATCACCTACAGTTCATATTAAAAGAGCTCAAGAATCTGGAGAAATCTCTGATCTCAAAGGACAAGACTGAAAATAAATATTGGATGTCTGTGATCTCTGGGTCCTCAGGGGCCACTGCATTAAAAATAGATCTAATTCTGAACTGGACTTCACTGCAGAGGCTTCACAAATCATTGTAGTTGATGATGTTGAACCTAGTTCACCGTGACATCCACAAATGCTGATTAAAGCTCTATCAAGCAAACAGGTATGCTGTCTTCTTTGGATCGAAGCTCATTTAAAATGAACTGAGGCAAAGTGGAAAACCACTGAATGACCACTGATGCCACGTCCTTCTTACTAAAGAGAAAAGGGGCCATCCAGCCTGTCATCTGCACACAGTTCAAAAAACCTGCCTCTCTGATGGTATGGGGGTGCATTAGTGCCTCCAGAATGGGCAGCTTACACATCGTGAAAGGCACCATCAATGCAGAACAGTGCATGCAGGTTTTACAACACATGCTCCCATCCAGATGATAACTTTAGCAGGGAAAGCCTTTCTTTTTCAGCAAGATAATGCTAAACTGCTAAATGCATCCACTACAACAGCATGGCTTCAGACTGTAAAAGTTCATCCATCCATCCATTCATCTATCCATCCATCCATCAGCTTTCATCCAGGGTCTTTTATACTGGGTTTTTTTCAGAGTCACGGGGGTCACTGTGCACATATCCAGCAGTCACTGTGTGAGGAGCGGGGTGCACCCTGGACAGGTTTTCACAGGACTTGTATAAGAGTCCAGGTGCTGAAATAGCCTGCCTGCAGTCCTGACCCCTAACAAATTGCATCATGACACAAAACAAAAGGACTGGAGTGGACTGTTGAACAGCTAGTCAGAAAGAGTGCAACGTTCCTTCCCCAAAAAATGGAAAAAATGGAACAATTTCTCAGTTAACAGTTGAAATGTGTACTGTGATCCACTATAAATACAGGTTTATGGTTTTTGCAAATGATTGCATTCTGTTATTTTTTAACCTTTTACACAACATCTCCACTTTGTTAGAATTTGAGTTATAGTTCATTCTCAGCTCAAACTGCATCAAGTTTCACACGTCTTTTTTTCTAAAAATTTTCTTTTCTCATACATATATACATTTGCACAAATAAACACCCACCTATATACACCTGGTGATCATTCAGAACCCCTCGGATCTGAAACCCTGTCTGCGTGTGGTTGTGAGCAAGCATAAATATACAGGATTTCTCCAACGGAATGTAWAATAGTGACTGTGGGGGAGTCCCAGAGCCGACCCCCAAGGCACGAGGCAGACATAAGGGGAGGCCAGAGCCAAAGACCCCAGGAGGAACCCCAAGCACCGGGCCCCCYGGTACACCTACGCGAGGAGAGCCGCACACCCACCCCCAGGTCAAATCATAGGGGAGACACGGGAGAACTCTACCAGCGACCACACGCAGCAGCCCCACAGCGGCCCGCAGTGACTAGCACTCAGGCCCCGCCGGCACCCGCTGCACCAGGGTAGGCATAGGCATGGGCACAGAGGACCCGGCCCACAGAGCGCCCCCCCAAGCCGAGATTCGACAGGGCCAGAGGACCTAAGCCCTGACAGGCAGCCGCCAGGCTGAGCTGGCACACACCAGAGCACCCAGCCCCAGACCACAAGAGCCACCCGCACGCCGGCGGGCAAGGCACCCCCACCAGAGGGCGGTGTGGGATGGGGGCGACAAACGAACCAGGGGAGGGGGAAGTCCACATCCCAGCCTGATACATACCCATGCATACACAAACACAATCATTCAATCCCACCCTCATCCTCGCACCCACTCATTTAAAGACATACAATATAGACACCACACTCCATTCACACTCCCGATACGCACTCTATACCCCCCAGGTCCAGGGTTTGCCCCCGCCCCCCGCAGAGGGCGGCCCACACCTGAACCCAGGAGGTAAACCCATTCGTTCTGGAGTGGAGAGGAGCAGACGGCTAAGTCCCGGCCCGGACCGCGCCGACCCGACTGGCCACACCTGCCCCAGCAAGGCCATGCCCCGACCACCCCCAACCACCGCCAACGGCCAGGGGTACACCCCTAGCCGACCACTCGCCGGAGCCCGGCGACCACCCCGGCCAGCGGACCAACTACGCACACCAGGAGCCACATTTCGGGAGTCCAAGCAGCTTCAGAGAAGCCAGAGTGCAAGCCCCACCCCCGGCACCCCTCCAAGCTCCCAGTCCACCATCAGTCCAGGCCCCCACCCGGCGGCATGCCACCACCAGGGCCCCACCCCCAGATGTCAGTCGGGAAACAGGGGAGTGAGAAATAAATAAGTAAATAAAAGAAGACACCGACACATGCACCCCCACCCTCAAATGTGCTATTGATGAGTGTTGTTCTATAGTTTAGTTAAAAGGAGAGGAAGAAGGGGCAGAGGCCGGCAGGATGCTAGTTTTACCCCCACCCCAACCCCTAAGTATCTACGTGCAACCATTGGGGGAGGGCACATATACCAGTGGTCATAAGGTGCCCCCCCTCCAGGTTCCTATATGTGTATGTGTAAGTTTGACACGTCTAAAATAACTCATCAGTCCACAGCGCTGGTATCCTTGGGTCCGTACATCCTCGTCGCTTACTGAGTCACTTTGCTGCCAGAATCTAGGAGGGCTTCTTTGGTTTGGACTCTTCAACAAAAAAGTCCTTCAAGATTCAGGTGGGAAAATGACTCCTTCAAACTGGTGCCCAGTTGAGACTCATCATGTATTCATTTGTTTTTAAATCATGTGTACAGGGAGCGTATTTATAACTAGATATAAAGTGGGTAATAATACCCAAGGAGCACAACTTCAGTGGTGCCAGCACTTGTTTTTTTTAAAATGTTCATTAGAATTTTTAAAGACAGCTCTTTTCTCTTTACCTAAAATGGCCAGCACTGTGCTGTCCTTCAGCACCTCCATGGAGCCAGAGCACACGAAGTAGATGGCCTGAAGAGCGTCACCCTGGCGAATGAGGAACTCTCCCGGAGCGCAGAAGGAGGTCTTGATGATAAGGGAGAGAGAACGCAAACACCCCCTGCTGGCCGACTCGAACAGTGGCAGCTGCAGCAGCTCTTTATTCAGGTGCATGGCGATGTCAGCCCTCAGCTCATCGGGGAAGTCTTTCAGCAGCTAAAACATTAAAACAGAAACATAAAAGAGAACTGTACACGTTAGCTGCGAGCCTTTTTGCTGGTTCGTCTTTGTTCTTTTGTCAGAGCAGGACTGTGTGGGAGGGTGAAGGGAGCGGGCAAAATAAAACCTTTCACCTTCCCACATATTCACAACTAACTGCTACATGCACGTCTCAGCAAACAATTTTGAGTTTTTCACACATTCACAGTAAAATCAAAGGTTTTGGTGTAAGACAGCTGTAGGTATAAAGAGAAGCTTGTCTACTTCACCACCAAATGCAAAAAGGACAATAATGTCTTTGTCGTGTGTCTGTGTGTTCATTTGTCTGTCAGTTATCAAAATGTCTCATGAACCACTAGACAGATTTTAATGAAACTCGTAAAAAGGAACATCATCTACAGCACATTAACACGAAGCAACCTTAGAGAACACAAAGACTTTTTAATTTGTTTTAGAAACTAAAATTTGATGTTGTGGTAGCCGAGACATTAAATTACATACTGGCACTCAAATTTAAAAATGCACAATGGTTGCTGCTGGGGGTTCCTGGGGGG